GAATGGACTCATCGATTCTCAGGTCAAACAGGGTGATTTCATGCTGACTTAGCATATTTTTAAAATCACTGATTTCTTTTCTAACATAATTTTCGACCATTTTAATGAGACATTTCCCTCACTAAAAAACGAACAACAAAGCACCCCCTTTCAATTTCGTAAGTTGAGAAGAGGCTATAATGATTGTGGCAATTTGTACAAAGGAAATAACCGACCCAATAAGAGGGGAAAGCCTTGCGAAATCGGTGAATACCTCCTTCTCCACCTATTACTAAAAATCACTACTTTAGGGGCCGTTTGAATACCTGGAAATATATTGTCTGTGAAATATATTACTGGCGTAATACATTACTGCGTAATACATTACCTGTAAATGCATTGTTACTGTTTGGGTAGTATTTAGATACAACCTGGGAAATACATTGTTATTGTTTGGCTATGTTTGGAAGAAATATAGGAAATGCATTACCAACATTTTACCAGCACGTGCCTATAAACTATTATTTCTTTCTTTTTTGTCACAAAATTTCACTAAAATGCAGATTTATCATTTCTTTCTTTTTTGTCACAAAATTCCACTAAAATTCTGAATTAAAATCATCATCACACCATTTCAAAAAGATTTTTAATAACAACATTATCCAAAAAGATTTTCTAATAATAACGTGTACCATTTTACAGTCATGAAACTATTTCCTACTAATTTTAAGTGCCTTTGGCACTTATATGCAATCACATATTTTCTAACATGATATTGGTTTCAACGTGATAAGTCATTGGAATACCATGATTTTATTATGATAAGCCTTATTTTTTATTATTTTATATAGAAGTCTTTCAAATGTCTCTCTATATAATTTTAAATAAATAATAAATTTATGATACTAAATTTAAAATCTGTAGGGCACGAATTAAAAAATGGGAAGAAGTTTGATTAGTAAACTAGAACGTTTGGTAATTGGAGTATAAAATTTTGAGGTATTGGAGGAGACTAAAGGGGTATGTTATTTCAATTGAGATTTTAGTAATATCTTATAAGGATTATGTTGTGTGAAATTTTTTATTATGATTGTGTGGTGTAATTTATCATTGATTACTGATTTTTATTTTTATTATTTTTTATTTTATATGATACCGATACCTTCATATGAGGGGACGAGCTTAAAAAGGGAGGTATTTGTGTAAAATTTTTAAATTTTTTATTGTGATTGTGTTGTGTAATTTATCATTGATTACTGAATTTTATTTTTATTATTTTTATTTTTATATGACAACTGATGCCTTCAGATAAGGGGACGAGCATAAAAAGGAGAGATAACCTAGTCATTATGAAGAAAGGGGACGTGCATAAAAAAGAGAGATAACCTAGTCATTATGAAGAAAGGGTTTAGAAGTTTTTTTTAATAAGGGATAGGTAGGCAAAAACGCACTTGACAGATTTCCAAAATTACCTGTCACTTTCATAATAGATTTTTTATCCCAAAATTATCTGTCACTATCGTAATAGATTTTTGACGGACGTAATGGATTTTCTGTTTTTTTGAGAAATCTCGTAATTTCTTTCCAATTTCTTACCATTTAAGTGTAACCCAAACAATAATTTCGAGATACCCAAACGGGCCATTATCTCGGTTTCTCAAGGTACCCAAACGGCCCCAATCTCGGTTTCTTGCAGTCGCGGCTTCCGTCGGACGGTCGCTACTGCGGACCAACAAGCTCTCTCTCATATTATATGCATACAAATGCAAGCAACCTATTTGTATTTTCCTGGTCATTCTTTATTTTTTTTTCAAAATTAAAAATACATTCCACTATGTTTCATGTGTGTAACTCTTCTGTAAAAGCGACTGCATTTTTTATTTCCTTTCCCCTTTGAATATTCTTTACATCTCCCCTGTATGCATATATTTCAGGAGAAACACGCTATTTCTTGTTCAATCACTGTCCCTTCAGATTCAGATCCGGATCCCGTAGTTGAAGCTTCTCGGCCTGCTTTTGAATAATCATTTGGCTGTTTTGTTTTGTTTTTTGTCCTGTTTGTGAGTTTGTAATGTTGAGATTGGGAATCGATTGAGAGAGAGAAAAGAGCGATGCATAGCAGGGGGTCGAGCGGCCGGCTCTCTGCAATGGTAATGAAGTCGAGGATTTCTTTTCTAATGTTTTCGATGCTCGCGACCATGGCTTCCCTCTATGTTGCTGGACGGTAATGTCTCCTCAGTTATTTATTTTTGAAATCTCAACGAATAAAAATGAAGGAAACAAATCAGAAGTTGGTTACTGAGAAATCGTTATATGGAAAGACACACAATTAACTGTTGTTTCTCGTTTCTGATTTTCTTGATTTATCAGTGTAAATGTTCTGATCACTGAGGTAGTGCTAATTACTCATTTGATGGATTGCTCCCCCTTGTTGGAATTTTCTATTTGGGGAAAAAAATGTTAGTTAAATTATATGCTTAGAAAGGAAGTGATTGATTTCTGAGAGGATGTTTTGGATTTAAAGGAATGAAGGAAATGGTTGATTTTCTGAGAGGATGTTTTGGATTTAAAGGAATCCAAGCATTTTTCATGGCCGCTTCAAAAGCTAATCTCTTTGAGGAATTAGTGGTCTGGTTGTGAATTAGTGGTCTGGTTGTTCTTCATGATAAGTATTATTACAGTATTGCGGCTATGCAGAGGTTGATAGTATTAATCTGATCGGTGAAATTTCCTTAACAGTCTTTGGCAGGATGCAGAGGCTAGGGTTTATCTTATAAAGGAGCTCGATAGGAGAACTGGGCAGGTACTTCCTCTCTCTCGTGTTTGAGTGTGTCTGGTCAGTTATGTTGAGAATTATGTCTATGCCAAATGGGATGTCTCCCTTAGACAAATTTTCCCTTTTTCTCCACACACATGCACACCTTTGTTTGTGGAGACGCTGAGGCTATCTTGATAACCTAGATTGGTTTCTCTGAAAAGTGCTTCTTCAACGTTCAGCGTCCGCACTTGATTTGTCGACATGCTCCCAAAACCAAAGACATGTACATTCATGTTATAGAGTCCAGCCAACTTTCCAGCATGGGATCAAATCCAAGAGTGGAGACTGACTTGAACAAAAAAAGGTTGAAAAGGTGAAATCAGCAAGTGCAAAGGCAAAAACAGCTGTGCCGGTTGTTTCCCCCTTCTTTGTTTGATAAACCTAGGTTCCCAAGCTTCCTCGAAAATCTATCTCTGTCTCTCCCTCTTCTAACTCAATCTCCATCAGTCACTCCTAATTTTAACTTGGTTGGGATTTATGGGTCCCTGTGTGTCCTGGTTTGTATAATCATATATTTGAATTGGATGAAATTGCAGTTTCGGTTGATTGTGCAATTCTTATATCTCATAGGTGGAGGTGTTCTGGTGCTAAATCTTTTTGTCATCTATGAAACTTTGAAGTGGCTAGATCTTGGGTGTATGAAATCTATTTTCTGCTTCCTTTAGGATATTGTTAGTTGGACAAAACACATTGTTGACGAGAACCGCGGTATGTTTTTTAATGCCTTCCCAAGGATCTGCCATGCCATAACACTATCAAGCAGACATTGAGAACACCACTTTTTGTGCCCCTTAACAATGGATCTGGAAAGAAGCCCCAACCCGTGTTGTTTACATTTTTTGGAGTGAAATGGAATTTTACACGTATTATGTTATTGATAGTAACAAGCAGCTCTCGGCGCTCCCAAACCCAGCTGTAGAAATGGCCTATGTGATTAAATTTGTGGGTTACCACAGTGGGCTTTCTATCTAGTAATTATTGCTCTGATGTGGGATTCATTTTGATGTTTTTTATGTAAACTGGTTGGTTTTACATAAATGTGTACATGTCTAGTTACTTATTACCAGGGAATGTTTTATCTAGAGAAATGAGCATCATCTCGTGTCATAATTAATTTGATATTTCTTTTTTTCAGGGGCAGCCAGCTATATCAGTTGATGATACGCTTAAGGTTTTGGCTTGCAAGTAAGACTTTCACCATCTTTGCTTTATAGAGGGTGAAGAAGGCCTCCTTCCTGGGGGGCCCAAACCACACATGGATTTGCTTTTGATAATGCACATGCATGCTTGTCTTTCTATCTATTTATGCATACACATGCTAACTCACACACATGCACATGGTTGAACTTATATGTCTCTCCAATCTCTCTCTGTATATATACACATGTATTCTGTGTTTATATACGTAATCATATTTACATATGCGTGTTACTCAATTGTTTATGTGTTTTGTTTACTTGTTGTTCTCATTTACTTGTTGTTCTCATTGGGTTCACGTCAGCAACTTTAAAGCATCCATTATTTCCATATCTTGAGTAAATTGATGGTATTTTGTCTTGTCAGAGATCAACAAAAGAAATTATCAGCACTAGAGATGGAATTGGCTGCCGCTAGAAGTGAAGGTTTTGTATCAAAACATTCCATTGGACCAAATGGAACTCATTCAAGGAGAAGATTACTAGCTGTTATAGGTATTATCACAGAATTCGGTCACAAGAATAACAGGGATTCAATCAGAAAATCGTGGATGCCTACAGGTGGATTCCAATCTCCTTTGTGATTTACAATTCTTTTGTTAACATCAGACGAAAGCCTTTAATCTTTGCATGATGAGGTTCTTGTGGGAAAAGGAAACTTTTTGTGAACTTTCTAGGTCACCTCTCATGCAAAGATGTAATTGTTGGGACTTCAGTGTGTAATGATGCTCTCGTTTGTTTTTTTTTTTTTTTGCACTGGTTGGGAGGGTGCTTTTCTTTTGGTGTAGGACTGTTGCAATTATAATCTGATGAAAATGAATTTCTTGAATTCTTGAAGACATAACTGCTTTTATGAGCTTATTTTTATCTGAGTAATTCTTTCTTTGAAAAGTTCTGAGAAAATATTCAAGCTATCTTTGTTGAATAGCTCTAATTTTTCACTATTGAGAGGTTCACCAAATTTACTGTGGTTTACTTAGTTTTGATATCATTTGGATTAAATTGATGGATTTTTACAACAAGTATTTCATTCATATATACACATATATACATATGTACTCATGTACATGTACATAAGCAAACACCTTTAGCAGCACATCTACACCCACATTTTGGTTGTCAGACGCTACACTTTAGTTTATCCTCTCATCTCTTTTTCTCTCTCTCCCCCTTCTTTGTCTCCTCTCCTTCTCGCTCTATCTTCCCTGCATCATCCACTGTTTTCTTAGTAGTGAGATTTGCTGTCTCTTGATACATTGTACGGAGCACCTGGATATGGGTTGCCCCATTTTGATATGTCCACGTAGAGTTTTATTTTGATATGTACACCTACACTTTATAAACATATTATAACAGTTGACTATTGTCCCAAAAAAAGGTATATAAGAGGCAAATAAGTTGCAAAGAAAAATGCGTATATGGTATGCATCCCTTTTATGGTTGTAAGTTCCAAAGTTATTTTGGTCCAAAATCTTTAAACAAAATGATCTTTTTCCAATGTCTGACTAAACATGGTTTGGTCGCTTGAGCGAATGGAACCATTTCGTGATTTAATGTCAATTGGCTCTTCACTTTTGAGTGAAGTTATATACAAAGTTTGGAATGAGTTTTAATCTACTTTTGTGGATTTTTTTTTTCTTGGCTAATGTGCCGAGTTCTTCAAATTCATTTTATCAGTCATGTATGTTGTTTTAGTTATCTGAATAATACAGTGTAAATACCTATTAAGCAGTTGTCAATATCTTTCTCATCATGTAGATGGTGATTCCTTTTTTTTTTTGTCATACTTTTGATGCTTGATTTACTTAAATATGTTGGTGGTAAATACTATTGATGTAAATGTGTCTATTCACCTTTATGATCGCCCCTTATCATCTCTCCTTGCTTATTGACATCTATGCCCAAGTTGTTTAGATTTTATTTTATTAAGGGATATGAGAAATTTTACAGGTGCAGCATTGAAAAAATTGGAAGATGATAAGGGTATAGCAGTCCGTTTTATCATAGGTAGAAGGTAAAGGTTCATTATGTGTATTCAACATTTCATACCATTTTATTGAATAGTTATATCGAACTCTCAGTTGTGATGTTGATTTGCAGTGCAAATCGTGGGGATAGTTTGGACAGGGCAATTGATGAAGAGAACAGCAAAACAAATGACTTCCTTATTCTTGTGAGTGCATTTATGTTCCATCAGTTGTGTTTGTCTTTTGCAGGATATTACTAATGTTCTATAAGATGATTGATACTCTTTGCTCTTCAGTTTTCAGTGAGTAGTGCGAAATAAGCAACACCTTGATCTTAATTTTTTACTGGGTACACTATAAAATTTAATGAGGAAGCAGCTGAGTCCCAAAGATCATTTGCACGTGTGATTGCAAAGATAGTCCCTTGAATTATTAGTCTCTTGAATTATTGTGTTGCGGTATATTCTATCCTGTTCATCTGCGTAAAGTGTTAACAAGGGTCTTGTAATGTGTTGCTACCTATTGAGAAGTGTTTCAATCAGTTTTCTTTTATGTTATTTTGTTTTTAATCATTTTAAATTTCATTCAGGTTTTAAATCATTCTATTTTTTATTTGTTTTTAAAATTTAATGTTGGTCTTCATAGGTTCCCTTGAGAATTTATCTGCCATGGACCCTCTTTAGTGTTTCAGGTTGGATTGGTGCCCTAATAAAAAGGCAAAAAAGGAAATTTTCCCAGTTGGTGCTTGGAGCCCATTTGCACCTTTTCACGATCAATTCGGGCATTCAGCTAAGTGCAGGTCTGCTTTATAGGAAGATATGGCCTTCTTGAAAGATCATATCAGGGCTGTGGGTTTTTTATTAATTTTTTTTTTTAAGTTGCCAAGGAAGTGTTTCTCTAGTAATGATGATTTGTTCCAGTGGCTTTACTAGTGACTTCGTACTTGTTGACCTTACTACCATTGGGTGGTTAAATTATTGGGATGCTTAAGGAAAGGAACCTCGTGTGTTCTTAAGGTTTGACCCTTTACCGCTTCTTGTGATCTATAGAGACTTTTTTTCTGTGGGTTATAGGAAGAAAATTCTTCTCTACTGGAGTCTGGTCCTTTAAGATCTTCTACCCGTTTGTTTCAAGTTCATGTGATGTTCGCCCAGATCCATGAACTTCATTTATGATCTACAGGGGCCTTTGAGTCAACCTTGCGTGTCATCACTTTTGAGGAAGTCAGTTTGTTACAGTTTCCTTTTTATCATTTTAAAAGGAGGCCAATTCTATATTACAGGGAAGTTAGAGCTTGCTGAAGTAGGAGTTCAAGGCATGAAACAAATAGTAGTTTGGTAATTTTGGCAATGGATGGGCAGAGTGTAAGAGGAAGGTTGGATAAATTGTTTGGAGGAATTGGGTCCAATAATGTTGGAGATGAGTGGGATTTCAGAATCATTGGGTCAATGGTATCATTCTTGTAGCTCAAAATGTTTCATCTTGTTCTAACGGAAAATCTTAGATTGATAACTATTTCCTACAATGCTAGACATGAGGTTTAAGGGCCAATTTTTAATGTATTGATTATAGATAGGCTGATAAGGAAACTTGGTGGTGAAGTTATAAGGTTTAGAAGGCCATTTGCGAAAAAGGATCATGTTGTAAAACTTGGCATTGTAATAAAAAGAATCAAAACTTGGGAGAATATAAACATGCTAAGAAAAACGTAAAAAAATAGTAGGGCTGAACTTAAAGCATATGACAATCTATACAGTAAATTGGGAATAAGAAATGGTGAAAAGGATGTCTTCAAAGTAACAAAAATGAGAGTGAAAAAGTGTGGGGATCTAGACCATATTAAATGCATTAAGAGTGAAGATCAAAGGGTTTTGGTGAAGGAAAAGAAAGTCAATGAAAGACGGAGAGTTTATTTTCAAAAATTATTAAATGACGAACACAATGGGAATATAGCGGTAGAAGGATCTGTTTGCATAAATGAGCGCGAAAGTCATAGATACATTCATAAGATTAATATATTGGAAGCAAAAGAAGCTTTGAAGAGGATGGAGATAGGAAAGACTTTAGGACCAGATGATATACTGATACAAGTATGGATGTTTATGGGGAGAGATTGGCATTGACTGGCGGACCGAGTTGTTCAACAAAGTGTTGAGAAAAGAGAAAATGTTAAATGACTTAAAGAAAAGTACTGTGGTACATATTTATAAGAACAAAGCAGGCATACAAAATTGTGCGGACTATTAAGGGATCAAACTTATGAGCCACACTATGAAGCTGTGGGAGAGTGATTGAGCAACGATTAAGGCATGAGACGAGTATATCAGAAAACCAATTAGGTTTTATGCTACGGAGTTCAACAATCGATGCTATTTTCCTACTTAGGCAACTAGTTGAGAAGTTTAGAGCAAAGGTAAAAGACCTCACATGGTCTTTATTGATCTACAGAAAGCATATGATAGATATGTACGAGGGAGTACTAACTAGCATGCGAACAACTAGTCGAGAGACGAGTGAGTTTTTAGTGACAATAGGTCTACATTAGGGGTCAGCATTGAGTCCGTACGCCATACCTCTTTTTCTTAGTTATGAACGACTTACACCTACAAGATAGGATATGTAGTGTATGTTCGCGAACGACAATTTTGATTGATAAGACCCAAAATAACATCAACGCAAAGTTAGAACTTGTTATATGTGTGAAGCCAAATTACACATGTGGTTCTTTTTACTTTTCATCTCTTGTTTTGAGCCCTTGGATTGAATCTAATCTAAGGGTTATGATGTTGTAGGAACTTAGAAACTAAAGGAATTAAAACCCATTTGTTTAGAGAGAGAAAGAGTGAGAAAAAGATAAAGAGATTGGGTTCGAATTGGGTTTCCTCTTGAGGCCTGCTGTATGCTCTGTTTTAGAGAAAGTGAGCAAAGCTTGAGCCCATTGTGGGTTTGTTGTGTGCCCTATTTTAGTGAGAGAGTGTCAAAGAGAACCTATTTTTGGGTGTTCTTGGTACGTTGTTTTTGGGCTCAGTTTATCGTGAGAAAGGGTTATTAGAAATTGATGTTTTCAGCTCGATTTCACCTTGTAATCTTCCCAAATAAGTAAGTAAAGCCTCATACCATTCTCCCGTGGATGTAGGTCACGATTTGTGACCAAACCACGTTAAATTGTTGTGCTTTGTGAATGCATGTTGGTGGATTTTTTATTCTATGTTCTTGCTCTGATATTGTATAGTTTCCATTGCTTTTTTATATTGATATGAATGCACAATAGTTGTGAATGTTAAAAACCCTTACTGATTTTTCACCAATCGAGTTACGTCTCATCCAACCCCAAAAGTCTTCTACAATTCTTATCCGTTGAGACAACCTTTGTTAACATATCATCAAGGTTCTTTTCAATGTGGATCTTATCCACCGGCAGGTCTCTACACTCGAGGGCAGCCGAATAAAATGGTATCTAACCTCTATGTGTTTTGTTTTGGAGTGATAAGCTGCATTATTAGTCAGATGAATAGCACTCTGGTTATCACAATGCACAACGTATTTATCCTGTTTCACCCCAAACTGGTCAAGTAACCTTCTCAACCAAATCATTTCTTTTGCTGCCTTTGTCAATGCCACATACTTAGTTTCAATTGATGACAAGGAAACAATATCTTGCAACCTTGGCATCCAACTGACTGCACCACCACTAACATTAAAATTGTACCCAGTGGTAGACTTTTTAGTATCACGGCATTCTGCATAATCTGCATCTACATAGCCAATAACTTCCAATGATGAGTTCCCAAAACAGAAGCATACATTTCGTGTCCCCTTTAAATACCGAGTATCCACTTAACTACTTGCTAATGTTCCCAAGATATAAGTCTGGAAACAACTCCCACTGCATGGGTAATATCAGGTCTAGTACAAACCATTGCATACATCAAACTACCCACTGCATAAGTATATGGAACATGTTTCAACTCACTTTTATCTACTTCATTCATTGGAGAGTCCCTTTTAGATAACTTAAAATGTACAGCTAATGGTGTAGAAACATGTTTATAGTCAATCATATTGAAACACTCAAGAACTTTAGAAATATATTCAGATTGACTTAACCAAAGCTTACCTTGCTTTCTGTCTCTATGAATGTGCGTGCCCAAAATGTTCTTGGCTGGTCCTAGGTCCTTGGTGGCAAAATGCTTGGACATATCAAGCTTTAAACACTTGATTTTACTCAGATTATTGCTAGCAAGGTATCCCAACTAGCAGTGTTAACCAAGGTATCCCAACTAGTAGGCAAAGAACTCAACAAAAGCAAACATAACACTTTTTCATCCAAATTCACTTTCAGAGACCTCAAATTGTGTAGAAATTGAATTAAATTCACTCACATGCGCTCTAATTGTAATACCTTCTTTCATTTTCAAAAGAAACAATTTTTTCTTGGCATGCATTTTATTTGCACCAGATGGTTGTTCAAAAGATTGCTCTAGAGATTGTCAAAGCTTTGCAGATGTTTTACATTGACAAACATCAAATAAAATTGAGGGTGAAATACATGGTCTTATGGCTGCCAAACATTTTCGATCAAGAATATCCCCATTCCCAATTTTCCATTCCAACCGGCATGACCTCTTTTCCTCAAAGTGGCCTACCCAATTCTTTCCCAACAAGATAATCTTCCATCATCATTTTCTATATTACCCAATTACTTTGATTTAGTTTTTCAAATTCCATAGCCCTTCCATTTTACAAAAAAATACAGCGAATAACCACAATAGCAAAAGACCCTTTCTTCACAGACACAATGAAGAACAAACCTTAGGCTCTGAAACCAGTTGTTGTGATCGATTGGTGAAAAATCATCAAGGGTTTTTAACATTCACAACTATTGTGCATTCATATCAATACACAATATCAAAGCAAGAACATGGAATGAAAAATTCAGCAACATGTATTCACAGAGCACAATAATTTAGCATGGTTTGATCACAAATTGTGACCTACATCCACGGGAGAATAGTGCTAGGCTTTACTTATTTGGGAAGATTACAAGGTAAAATTGAGCTCAATTTCCAATAGTCCTTTCTCAATCTAAACAGAGCACAAAAAAGAGGTACCAAGACACCAAAAAATGGGTTCTCTTTGACACTCTCTCAATATAACAGGGCACACAGCAAACGCACAATAGGCTCAAGCTTTTGCTCACTTTCTCTTTAAAATAGAGCATACAACAGCCCTCAAGAGAAACCCAATTCCAGCCCAATCTCTTTATCTTTTTCTCTGTCTAAACAAAAGGGTTTTAATACCTTTAATTTTTAAATTTCCTACAACATCATAACCCTTGGATTAGTTTCAATCCAAGGGCTCAAAACAAGTGATGAAAAGTAAAAGGAACTACGTATGATTTGCCATCACACATATAACAGAACTTTGGAGGGATGCCATAGAATCTAAAGGTTTTAAAATAAGGCGGACCAAGACACAGTATATAGAATGCAAGTTTAGTAATAATAGGAGTAGAAACGAGGAAGTAGTTAAGATTGACGGCTAAGAAATGCTAAAAAGAAGGCAATTTTGATATCTTGGGTCGTTAATCCAGGAAAATGGAAAAATTGAGGAAGATGTCGCACTTAAAATTAGAGCTGAGTGGGCGAAATGGTGATGTGCAACCAGAGTTCTATGTGATCGCTGCATACCGATGAATCTTTAGGGCAAGTTTTATAGGACAACTATGAGAGCAACTTTGCTTTATGGGCTGGAATGTTGAGTTGTCAAGAAACAACATGCCCATAGAATGAATGTGTCTGAGATGAGGATGTTGAGATGGATGAGTGGCAAGTCAAGAAGGGATAGAATTCAAAATGAACAAATTTGTGAGAATTTAGGTGTGGCACCAATAGACGATAGAATGAGAGAGTAGACTTAAGAGGGGTGGCCATGTGCTGCATAGAAACTCGTGTTAAGAAATGTGAGTTTCAAGTGGAAGCCTCAAAAAGGGCATGGGGTGGGCCCTAAAGGACATGGTCAGAATTAGTGAGAAAAGATTGGGGACTTATGGCCTCACTGAGTGTATGATCCTTGATAGAGCAGAAATGGTGCACTGGTATTCGTGTGGCCGACCCCAATTGGTTGGGAAAAGGCTCTGATGATGATGATGGTGATTATTATTACAGATAAGGCTGCAATGCCCTAAGAGGGACTAGAGCATTGAGGCCCAATGAGCAACTAAGAATCCTCTTGGGCACAGGCCTTTTAGTGAAACCAACGTGGTGGGCAATTATACCACTTTTTAGGGCTGAGAGGCATTAATTTCCCTTAATATTATGGGATGCAAGAGCAAATGCCTCCTAGTTTTAAATTTTTCCTAGTGAAATGCATCTTTGGCGAGATTACGGGGTTATTTCTTTAAGCCTTTTACTCTTTTCTTTTAGGTTTTTTAGGAGCTGTTTGGAAAATTAGTCAGAGTACATATGGAATTATTAATTTTATTAGGGATAAAAATATCATCACGAGTTTTGTTTTAATTAGGACATTAATTAAAATAAAAGTAAAGATTTCTTGGGATGTAAGTAAGGTCTTTTTGAAGAGGGTTGTAGGGAGACTAACATGATTTGGAAATAAAGAAGGAAGAGAGCTTTGTTGTGGAATCCTTGGTTAGGGTTTCTTGCAGGAGGGCCCTCAGGTTTCTCTAAGAGATTGCTTGTACTGGCTTGAAATATTGCAGACTTTATGTTCTTCAAATTTCATGTCAGTTTGGTATCAGAGCCCATGTTTCTTCAACAAGGCCAAGAATCTACAGTGAAGTGTAGGGTTCATTGATTTTCGGCCAAGGTTTAATGATCTCAGCCAAATTTTGATTTCATCTTATAGTTTGCTAAATTTAGCCTAGGTCTTGTTGATTTCAGCTAGGATTTGTTTATTAGCTTCCTAGGGTTTGTGATTTTGGTGAATCCATGAAAACAGGAAAGGGCCAAGGAAGGGGAGCTCTTGTAGACCAACCAGTGATCTCAAAGATAAGGCATTTGAAGACCTTGGGAGGGAGGTTTTGCAGCTTACACGACAGCTCTCAAATATCACTCATGGGCAAGACGATGATCTTTTCGCCTAAAAGGATGTCGAATACAGCCGTTTTCATTTTTGTTCTCCGCGTAGGGAATCGAGTGAAGATGAAGCAAGGAAGAACTAGACATGGAGGACATCGTTATAACGTTCTCGATATGAAGGTTGATATTCCCTATTTTGACAATAATCCTAAAACTGGAGAATTTATTGATTGGTTAAATACCTTAAAGAGGGTTTTTGATTACCAAGAAGTTCCTCAAAATAAAAGAGAAGTTCTTCTGCCCAAACCCTTGATGACTGTCAAGATTCATGGATGATCCAATCTTTGATGAGGAACCTTTTGATGGAGTTAGTGATCATGTATTTGATGGTGATCCCATCTTTGATGGCAGTCTTATTGTTGATGATAATTTGGTAGGTGATATATGTGGAGAGCAACAAGATGAGGATCTCCAAGGACAACCAGTAGGTGAGGTTGTTGGTTTGGTCATTGAATCTAGTGCTCATCATTAAGGTTTTCTTTTGGGTTGAGCGAAGCCTGTGTCATAACTACTCCATCGACACAAAGACCCTTTCCCGATGTGTTCTCAAAGGAGTTTATGAGTATATCAATTGATTGCAAAGACTATATTTCAATGCACAATGGCTTTATCTTTATTGGGCCAATAACCCATAGGTCTCAGGATTCAAGCCATAATGTTCAATTTGAAGAAGATAATGATTTTATTGCAGGATTCATCTTAGCGTGCTTCAAAACTCCAGTATGCGTTTTCTCCGTCTTGGAAGTTTGATGCAGAAGCAAATGCCTTTTATTTTGAATTTTTCCTATTAAAATTTTAAGGATGCATTTTTTTTGGGGGATTTTCAAGGTTTATTTTTCTGGTTTTTAATTTTTGTGAGTTTTAGTTTTTTATTTTTTTTAGGATTTTTAGGAGCTATATGGAAAAGTAGTTAGAGAACTAGTGGAATTAATTATTTTATCAATGTAAAAATGCCATCACAAATTTTGTTTTAATTAGGACTTGTATTTTGGTTAAGAGTTGAAATTTCTTGGGGTCTAAGTAAACCATTTAATTTAGATAGTGATTCGAAGAGGGTTATTGGGAGATTGTCGTGATTTTGAAATAAAGAAGGTAGAGAGCTTTGCTCTGGAATTCCTAGTTAGGGTTTTATGTTGGATAACCCTCAGGTTTCTTCAAGAGATTGCTTGTGTTGGCCTGAAATATTGTTGATTTTCTATTCTTCGAATTTCCTACGTCAGTCGTCTTTCACGCCTAATTCTCATTTTAAAAATCTAGGAAAGAACTGTGATTTAAGAACTAAATAGTAAACACGTTAAAAAAAATTGTGATTTAACGATCTCCAAATTGTAAAGCTTGAACTATATAGGCTTATGAGACCATTCAAGGTTAAAAATGTGAAATATGGTTTTTTCTAATGTAACTAAGAATAGACCAGGACTAGGAGTCAAGACTTGGGACCAATCCAATCCAATCACTGGACCAACGTATTGGTCAAAACCAGCAAGAACTTCCTGGCTCGTTAAGTTGTCCATGTTCCATCATCTTTGTTCTCCCTAACACATTAGACTTTCTAATAGTACTTTGTTTCCCTCTTATGACATATTAATTATGAAATTACTTGAGTTGTTTTGTGGCACCCTTAATTGCTTGGTTGTGCCAAAACCTTCAGTAATTGGTTCAAGGATATTTTAATCTGACCTATAATCCAACGGTCCCAGGATCAAGCCCTTGATATTGCAATATGCAATATTCGGGTTGAGAGAGACCTTGTGTATAGAAGAGGATTCTTATTAACTCATTTCAAAACTCGAGGGCAAGTTTTCTTCAATCAGGGGAGAATGATGCAGATCTGATTGATTAAAAAATTTAGTTTTATTTTTCAATTTTATTTTTAGAGATGTGGATGTTATTTTTATTTATTTATTTGGTTAGTTTCTTAGTTGATAGGCTTATGATGAGTTTTTATTTAAGATTTAGTTAGTTAATTGGTTTCCTAGCTTGTAGTTGGGACTTGGGAGTAGATCACTTAGGTGCTAAGGGAGGTTCTATTATAATGTAGTGATCCTGTTATGGAGGGGCTTGGTACTATTTTTATGGGATTTAGTGATTTCCTAGCTCCATGGGATTTTGTAGAGAATATGTTAGAGAGAGAAAAAGAATATTTCCTAGACGGGTGGATCTATAGGTGAGAAGTGCATGAGGTAGAGGTCTGTTTTAATGGTGTTTCCTATTTTGTTGTGATATATTGGATTTGATAGGAGAGATAAGTAGAGAAGGAATCTTTTGGATATTTTATTTTCCTTGATGGCTTGTATTAGAAAAGGGGGCAAAGCCCATGAGAAGCATGATGTTATTTTTTAGTGAAATGTATTTTATGACAAAGAAGAGAGAGCTTCTTCTTCTTCTGGCTTGCTTTACAGCCATGGTTACCCTTTATTGCTGATTTGTTTGTTTGAGGATTGGAAAAAACAAGTGGATTTAATTTTTCCTTCCTTCATCAGAAAGACATGTGATGTCACCCTTTAAATGCCATGGAGCTTGAGCATTTGTTACTACGCCTCATATGGCCTTCAAAACTCTATTTGTTTATTTTTCTGGTCATATGCTATTTCACATGACTTCATTTCTGATTTGGTCATGGGGATGTTGTCAAGTTAATTATATGCCAATGGAACTTCTCTGTTTCATTGACAGGAAGATCACGTGGAGGTTTCTGAGGAGCTGTCAAAGAAAACAAAGAAGTTTTTTGTTAGTGCTGCTGATACTTGGGATTCTGATTTCTATGCTAAGGTTAATGATGATGTTTATGTTAACCTAGGTAAGGTGTATTTGGTGATGGTTTTGTGTCCTATATGATGTCAATTCTCCAACCATTGACTCTTTCATTGCTTTTATATTTTATGGGTTCTGCAGATAGCTTGGGGGCTATGCTTACAAAATACTGGGAACAGCCCCGTGTTTATATTGGATGTATGAAGTCAGGAGAAGTTTTCTCAGAACGGTGTGTTCTTGCCTCTCTTTTACATGTGTAGTCATAATACTCAACCTTAATTCCAACTATCACAAGAAGAATGAAGACTCATCTTTCTGATGATCTTTGCTGCTAGCTTAGTATAGACCATCAGCGATTGTCCTTATTCTTATTTCTGTCATTGCTAGATATTTACAGGAGCCACAAATGGTATGAGCCCGACTGGTGGAAGTTTGGAGACAAAAGATCGTGAGTTATATTCTTGCTTCTGATTTTGTTAGCTTTATCCTTTTTTTGAAGCTTCAATCTTGATTTAGTAGTTTGTTTGACTCCGCACTTTAAGGTAATCCGCATAAGTGGCAACACCAGAGTGTTCTGTGTGATAAAAAGAAAATGCAGAAAAATATCGATTAGTTGAAAAAGGAACATTTATGTGTTTTTCTGGCTTGCACTTAACATTTGGCTCTATCTTTACTCGAATGTCCTTAGGCAGTCCCTTGTGAGTCTTTGAGACTTTTTGTATGGAGACCTCAAAAACCTTTGTAATATTAAAAAATCTCTGAAAAAATAACCCTAGCAATGTTTAATATTTGTTAACTACCGTATACATCCTCTTTAGAAGTGTTTCAATAAACCCAATTTTTGGATTTCAGAAGATATGTTGAGCTAGTTGAAAGTTTCTCCCTTTTAAGTTTCACGATATCTAACTTTACTAAATTTTAAATCACTTTCATGTTTTATAGTATCCCTTGCCTTCTACACCTGCCTTTGACCTAGCTCATTTCCTTTGTGAATCCCTACATGTTTTCGACTTTACTATCAATGCAAGTTGTTTTGCATAGATGCACCATCAAGCCCATGACTTTAATCACACCCCTACAACCCATAGCTGTGCAAAACTATAGTGGAGGACATCACCTGTCCCTTCCTTGTCTTATAATAAAAATAGATAAAGGTAGTTGTGCTTTGATTTCTAGCATGGACCTTTCACATGCAGTCCAAAGAAAGTGAGAAATGGATGTGCTTTAATTTCCACCATTGAAATTTTTTCTTGCTTCAACCTTTCTGATTTTACTTCTATTTTGTTCTTTCTTATTGTTGCTTGATCATGTACCTTTCTATTTGTCTTTTACTCCATTGCAGGATTGAACACCCCATGAATGCTATTTTTGTCTTTCCACCAGACACAAATATCAAAATGGCATGCATTCTAAATTGTGATCTCAACAGAAATGTAGGTTTCTGTTGCTATTAGTAGCTTCTATATCATTCATCTAAGAAACTCCAGAGACCTCGGCGTCAGTAGGAATAAACAGAGGGGACTGACTGTATTATGAGATCCCTTTGCCCTTTGTTACATTTCCACCATCCCATCTTTCCATCTAGCATTTTACTTTTCGTGCCTCCCCCATGTTGTCTGTACCATCTTGAATTTTTATTACACTTTCTGTTTTTCCAAGTTAGGTAATTTTCTTGCATCCCTGCATCCTGTCATTATTGTCACTTGCATTCTGACATTTTGATTTGATTTTCCTAACACCATCAGTATAGAATTGAACTACCGTACATGCATCTTTTGTGCGTTGCGTACGGCTCTGCAATGGAATCAACTCTTCTATCCGAGAATGAGACAAATACAATCTATTAGACCCAGATCTTTAGATGATTCATTTACCACCTGTTTGCTCGGAGGAGTAAAAAATACCATGATGGTTCGGTTGCTTTTGAATTTTTCATTCAGCAATCCCAAAGTTTCTTTCTGATCCAATCAAATGAAAAAAGATTGTTCATCATTACTTTAACCTACCTGATGTTAACTTCTTGTCTGTCTTCCCAACACTTCTCATTTACCCCCTTGCGACTTCCTCACAATATCTTACCGTTTACCTGTCATAACCTGATCTTGCAAAGATGTGGTTCCTTTTATTTCCCATTAGTTGGTAAGTTGCTATTGGAATGATATGTTGCCAGATATATCTCACATTTGGTGAACCTTAAGGGTCTGATTGGGTTGCCGTGAACTTGATTAGTATTACAAAACTAAGATGAAACTATGCCTAGCCCATTGGACAGTTATTTTTCATTGTAATATGCAGTCTTGTAATCTTGCAGCCATGGTAGTGATGTAGGCAAATAGTAATATATTCATGGGCTCCATAATCTTGTATCAAGACAAAAATGTAAATTGATGGCCACACATTACCCATTTTCTGAGTAAATGACATGATATTGCCTTCTCTTATATGATTACCGCTGTATTGTAGTCAGAATTTTTTCTATAGAAACTTCATAGATGAGGGAGATTGTGGTTACTTGCCTGACATTTTCTATTTTAGGACACAGTTTGTATTGTGTTCAGCACTACTACTACTAGAGGGAAATATAACAGGCAACATTACCACTGGCGGTATCATTGCAGTTGAATTGGCTGCCATGTCTGTCCTTCATTATATTTGTTTCAGTTTATCCAGCGATGTGCGACCTCTCCACCACAATAGCCAGTTTCATATCCTCGAATGACTCTTACTGAGTTGAGTCCAACATCGCCGTTGCCAATAATTGTTCATATTCTGCCAAAGTTTCCTGTTTGCACTTTTCACCAAAAGCATTTGAGAAGTGAGGCTTTACGATGCAATCTTGAATACACGTGCCGCAACCTCTTCCCACAACTGGTAGTTTTCAATTTGAGAATACACTGAAGTACAAGCATGTATCACCCCCCTGGTCTGCACATTGAATCAAAACCTTTGAACCACTACGAACTTTATGGTTACTACCATTGCCTCCATTTGGCAGAAATCCAGTCACTTTTAGTCATCCTTGTTCATTGTGCTATTAGTATTATTGTTTTGATTTATCTATTTTCAGCAGCCTAGTTCTGGTCAAACTCGCAACCCCAAGGCTGCAACATCAAGTGTCTTTCTGTTGGGCTGTGGGTTTGATATTCTCATAGTACTCAGGCAGTAAATGCTATTGATTTGAAAACCATTTAAGCAAAAATTTTGTTATGATGAAGGAGAAGGACAAAAGAAATAAGGATTTATGTATGTGGTAATACATGGGGATAAAGTAAAGTATGTATATACCGTGTTGATGTAGAAAAAAGAGAAAATAGAAGAAACCAAAAAAGGTTAAGAAAGATGAAAGAATATACCCTCTCCTCAAAAGTTCTCAAGGGAGTTCAACCTTGGTTGAGAGATTTGGGCATATCTCTAGGCATGCAAGGGAATCCACCCGAAATAATCATTTGGTATAAAAGCTTCAGAATGTCCATCCATCATGATGCTGTTAAAGGCTGATACCAAGTGTGCTCTGGGGTGGATTCCCTTTCATGCCTAGAAAGACAGCCAAATCTCAATCCTTAGGTTGGGTTCTCTTGCTGACCTTTGGAAGAGGGCATATTCTCTCATCTTTCTATATTGTCTTGTTTTTTCTATTTTCTCTTTCCTTTTCTTATGTCAATGACCATACATGACAAACTTTTTGGTGAACCTTTTTTCCTTATCATTATAAATCATGTTCAAATTACATGTTATACTTATTGGAAGGTAAACTATTGCTGAATTTCAAGGATAAAATCGGAAAGAGCATCGGGATCCAACAAATAAATGATAGTGAAAGAGTTGTATATGAAAACTGTTATACTTATTGGAAGATAATCTAATGCTGAATTTTAGGGATAAAATGGGAAAGCCGCATAGGAATCCAACAATGATAGGGAAAGAGGTGTATATGAAAAATCCTAAAAGATTTTTGACTTTGAATTGCATAGCCATAGCTCACATGTACGGTGTATATTGAAGAGGCAAAACTGCGTGGCAGGAGGACCATTAGTGTCCGATAGTACTAATGCCTTTCCGCCATCACGTCAAATCTGACAGTGGTTGTGAAAAGTCAAAAAAAAGAAAAGTTTAAACCAGTTAAAATCAGTGGGTTTTTCTTTTTATTTTTATTTTTTTATTTTTTTTAAATGTAGTAAACTGTAAACTACAATGGGCTAGTGGGGTTCAGTCTTTTCTTCCTTGTCTGTCCTCTTCTTGTACTTTTCTCTCTTCATTGCCTGTTCTTTTATCTGTTCATTTTTATTTTCACTCGTCTTTTGTCATTATGATCCTTTTATCTCTCTCTTCTTCCTTGTCTTTGTTGGGTGTCTCTCTATAGTTTGTTTTCTTCTTCTTCTTCTTATTCTTCTTCTTCTTCCTCCTCCTCGTCTTTTTACTGGTATTCGTTTATGGTGATTATGATGAGCAGTGTTTCAAAAGCGTTAGGCGGGACCTAGGCGGTCGCCGGGGGGGGGGGGGGGGTCCAGGCTGCCCAGCGCTTAGGCGGGTGCTGAGAACCTGGGCGGCCCAGTAGAATTTTTTGTTTTTTTTGGGTTTTCTCTCTCTAAAATAGGCTCTAATTGGTTTTAGGTTTCAAATGAACCTAAAACCCAAAATTTTGCACCTTTAGTATAAAAAAAATGACCCAAAAATAACCTCAACGAGGGGTATTTCTGCCCTTGGGAGGGGCATAGGGCCGATCAGGGATATCTGCTTTTTTTGGGTGCCTAGGCTTGGGTGATGCGCCCAGCCCCCCAGAACCGCCTAATCGTTTTCCCAGGTGCTGGTCGGTTTGCTTTTTGAAACACTGAGAGATCAAGGATGATGGCCATGGCCCTAGCTGCAGAGGAGGTAGAAGTTTTTGTGTTTTTTTAGATAGAGAGACCTCGTTACCTTGAACAAACTGTAGCCCTGTCATCCCTTCTAAAAAGAAATTTCACCATAAAAAGATGTCACTTACAATCCCACATCCCTCCTTATCTAAATGATATATAGACGTGTCGTATCTCCAATTTTAGGGTTGCAGTTTCCGACACTCGTACCATGTTAAATACTGATACATGATTCCATTTGTTTGTAACATAGGTTGGGGTGTCACTGTGGAATTGTACTTCTGATACACCGAAAGTTTTACCTACAGAAATAAGGGAGTACAATTTAACACATCTTCTTCCTTAACAGGTATTTTCGGCATGCTTCAGGGGAAATGTACATCATATCACGAGCTTTGGCACAGTTTATATCCATAAACAGGTGAACTGCTTTGTGCTAATGCATGCACGTGGACTGTGAATTGAAGTAGATGTAAGCTGATTTGGATGCTGTTAGCTTATCATATTAAGAATCTTGAATTTTTCAGAGGAACTCTCAGTACATATGCCCATGATGATGTTACTGTCGGATCATGGATGATTGCACTTGATGTGAAGCATGTAGATGAAGGCAAACTCTGCTGCTCAACTTGGTCTCCAGGTCTCTCTCTCTCTCTCTCTCTCTCTCTCTCTCTCACACGCACACACACGCATCTGCACAAACATACACATATACATGTGCATGGGCACATAAATCATTCCCATGCTCTTGCTACTTTCTTTTGTACATGCTGCATGCATTCCTCACATAAATGCTCATGTATGTGCTCTAGGCTTATGCTTTTCTTTTGTCTCCTTGACACTATGATAAGCAGGCATGCACAGACCCATCTAATAGAATGCCCTGGCAGTCATCTCACTAAATTGGCTGTCATAAAAAGGATGACACCCCATTTCAATTTCCAACTCTACTGTCATGAAACAATAACACCCCATGTTTTCTGTGCATCTGTCATGATAAGGATAACATTCCGTATAAATTTTTGACAATTGCTTAGTTGGAAACAAAACCATAATTCTCAGAGATATTTCCAAATGTTTTCGATTATTTCTTTATTTTCACTTTGGTGATTCCTACTAGTTTTGAATTAACTCCATCTTTATTCTCATGTGTATTCCCATGTTTGGATAAGGGCTAACCATCTCCAGCTTTAATTAGGTGCTGTTTGCTCCACTGTCTGACCCAATTTAGGCGATGGCTCTATACTCAACAAGTTTGCTGGGTCCAAATGACAAGATTTTCGTTTCTTTCATTCACCAAGCTTGGGGCTAATTCGAGTTGATATAGGGGAGTTATAGGCTTTATTGGCTGCTGCAAGTTCCATTTTGGAGGTGAGGAACTGAGAGCAGTTATCCCAAATTTACTGGATCCGAGCAATAGACCAGTCATCAACTTGGATACTGCTGGTGTTTGGCATTGATACATAATTCATAACATAGGTTGGGTTGGGATGGGGACAGATCATAGGGAGTTGGAGTGAGATATTTTTCTCTGATGGCTTAGTTGGATGTGTAATGTTGGAATATTCCTTTCTGGTGGCCCAAAAATGTAATTGGGACTGGATTTGAATTTTTTGTATCTCATTGATTTGAGATGAGGGCTTGGAGGAAAATGAGAAGGCTCGATCATGTGGTTTTGGCCTCTCCAGTTCTGCACCATGCCGTCACAGCAATGGAAGGGAAAACTTGTTGAAAGTTGGGCAAAATGAAAACTGTGCAAATGGGTAGGTTTTCTGAAAAAGTTTGTAGTGAGGTAGGCATTTGGGTCGTAGAATGGGTATTTTACTTCAAAATGGCGATTTGTAGGACGGATGTTAATTTTTAGAGGGGCACAGGGAGTCGTTCATTTATTTATTTTTTGGGCTAATAAGGATAACGAGGACTCCAAACTTTCCCTTATACTGTCTCAAGCCCGAGTAAATGAGGTGGACTGCATTAGGTTGGAAGCCTGCATAAAAATTTGCCTCATCTTATCATAAATCTTGAATCTATGGCTTTTGATAAGGATGGAAAAACATAATTCATTTAGCTGATTCCAAATCCTTAGGATAAGATTTGGATGATGATGATGATTTTTTCCTCTTTGAGGTTGTTTATAAGTTTTAAATGCTACATCGCCAAATTTTAGCCTCTAAAAATATATTCCTAGTGTCACCTGAGGGAGTACATTTACAGTATACTCCTATGGAGGCAGTAAAAAATAAAGCACGGCGGATTCTTTTTACCCCCTCTTGTGAAAATTGGATGGTTTTTGTTTAATATTGGGATGTCAATATTTTGAGATACACAGAATCTTGTTTGTTATTTTTTTCTTTGAGGTTGGTTGATAAGTTCTAGAGGCTACATCCTAAATATGAGGTTCAACAGACAACATGATTCTTCCTCGTGGGAGCAAATGCACAGTATGTTCTTGTAGGAGCAAAAAATCTTTTTATGCTAAAAATCAAGTAGCTGTGTTCTAAAACCGAGATCAGTAGGGTCAATCAGCCATCAAAAAATCTAGTTTGGATTAGGGGATCATTAATTTGGATCGGCGATAAGCAATTCACCCACGTGAGAATTGTAAAAAAAAAGAAATTTGGGAAAAAAAAGAGAAAGAATGTCGGAAAATCGCCCAATTTCCTGACAAAATTGACCTGCCCCCTTGGGAACCAGAATGGGCAACATGCTTGATTTCCCACCAATTCCAATTCGAACCTAGTGTGGTCAATCTGAATCAGCCTTTTGTAAAGAAACTGTAGGGTTTTTTTTTTTTGTTTTCTTTTCTCATGTGACGTAATTGTAATTTCAAACATATATTGCATTTGCTAGTTTTCCATCCTATGCATAGGGCTGGCAACCGGCTGGCCAGCCTCTAGCCTATTTTAGGGCAGGAATGTTGAGCCTAACAAAAAAAGTTTGAAAACCTAACAAAAACATAACTGGTCTTGGGGGCCATAATCAATTGGCTATCTGGCTACATTTTGTAGCCCACGCCCTAGGGTTTTAGGACCAAGCTAACGGAGCTGGGCTGAGCCGCTGAATCTATTGCCATCCCTAGGGATGGACCAAGCTGCAGTAGATAAAATTAAAAAAATTATAACGGAAAAAACATTGAAAAAGAGGGTCGGACCGAACGCCTTGGTCCAGGCCTAACGCTGTAGTTGCTTGGCCCTGATGCGGCCCTCGGGCCACATTGTGTGGCCCAGGCCCTAGTGTTTTATGGTCGACCTGGCCAGGCCGGGCCACCCTGCCCATTGTCACCCCCATTATTCGTTGTTTTGGTATAATTGACTCAACCTAAACTTTGCCATAATATGCTCCTAAGAAACACACTTCTTACATAGGTCGAGCATGATAGAAACCAGATTTAAACTATAAGTGTTGATCCCACAAATTAACTGATTTTTCGTACTCACACAAAAACTGACAAAGGTGACATCTAAAATGCCCCTTAGCTCATATCTATAGCTCTCGATTGCAAAACTGACCTTAATTTACCTTTTACAAGACTCTAATATACATTTATATCGATATGCTTCAGTGAATACATGAAATAAACCTCTATGGCTTCATCACTATACCTCCAGATGCATAAAGCCTAAAAAATTATTTTTTTGCTTATCTCAGGATTTAATATTTGAAAAAAATGCCCCTTCTCTTTACTATTATTCCCTAAATCATGGGGTATGGAGATTTGTTGACACATTCGAAATGAAAACAATCTCATAATTGCTAGAAGGGTAAGATCAAAATTAAAAACCTTCTCCTGCAAGTCACTTTTGATGGAAATTCTATACTCTAATAGAATGATGCGAAGATACGGATGACGCGACATGCATTCAAAATGGGATAAATATTCTAGATATACAACAAACGCACAAGTATCGCGTGTCACTTCAGAAACAATACACGAGGGTCACTACATACACTACATCACAAATACTGGACATGATGGTGAACCACTAACCAAAATGTTCCATGGCTGTAAATATTCAGCAAGGGAACAACCAACAAAACGACACAGAGGAAGAATGTGCTGACAAACAGAGGAAAAGTGCATACATAAGTTTTTTTGTTTCTTCATTGTATGAGATAGTGAGTGTAATTAGCAAAGCATCCACAAAACTGTGTGACCTAGTAATAAAATAAAACTCTCTGCACGAATATATGCTATCAGGTTGATTGTTTGAAGTTCTCTTGAGCTTGTTTTATCTTGCTTTTGCGTTCAATTTAAGATTCCCCCAAATATTCTGGCGACTCTATTGGGGACTAGTTCACCTCTCTTCTATTCAATCACCTATCGAATGAGTCGAGGCCAAATGGATTCACTTGCTTATTTTATGTAGGGACTCCATACCTTCTAAGGTCAGCTGTCCGGTTGCAAATTAGGTCGTTTTTCTACAAACCTTTGTTAACCAGCCTCACGGTCTCAATGTGAGGCTTGTTCAAGCACCCAAGACTGGCTCGATCCTTGAAGACCTCAATATCGTGAAGGTGCCTACAATGACCTTAATTCGGGGCAAGAACTGAATAGCCTGGGTCCTCACTTCTGGTGACATTGAGTCTCTTCTATTGTCTTCCTTTGACTGGGTGGTGGGGAAGAAAGGAAAAGTCGTCGAGGCGATATGGACAAGGGGTATTTATCAATCCCCTCCTCCTGGTGCCCTACTCAAAAGACCATTGCTCCTCTTATCTATCGATCCTTCTGATGATCAAGAAAGATTCAACAAGCACTTTCCTTGTCTTGCGTGACATCAAAGCGCAATCTCACAAAAATCCTCCTTTGGGGGTATACAGGTGCCGACTGCTGCACTCTTGGAGCCTCCTCAAGTGCAATGTCTTCATAAGTCGCTAAAGAAATTTCGGCCTACCTCAATGCGGGATGACTAAAGGTTCTGAGCACTACATAAGCATAATAGGGGTGTTGAGCCAAAATTAAGCTCCCAGCGAGCGATTAGCTAGGCTGATAGTGTACTAAATATATAGAAAAGAGAGCAGCAAAGCCTTGTTCTCCTAAATATATTCCAATAAGGACTACCTCAGTACAAGATGATTACAGGTTTCAAGCTCTACGCAAGCATAAAGAGGGTGTTGAGTCATAATCAAACCCCTAATGAGTAATTAAGACTACCTCAGTACGAGATGATTACAGGTTCCAAGCTCTACGCAAGCATATAGGGGGTGTTGAGTCATAATCAAACCCCTAATGAACAATTAGTTGGGTCAAGGATACGAATTATGTAGAAAAGATCAATTTAGCTTCGTTACTTCTAAATATATTTCACTAAGTACTACCTAAGTGCGGGATAGTATAGATCCCAAACTCTACATGAGCATAATGAGGGTATCAACCATCTATTAAACCTCTAGTTGGGCTGATAGTTATACAGGTAATAAACTCTACATGAGTATCAACCATCGATTAGACCTCTAGTTGGGCTGATAGATATAGCTAGTTCTAGAGAAGAACCGGTACTTAAGGTCACACGGTTCTAGAGAAGAACAGAAGAACCGGCACTTTAGGTCACACGCCAACTCTACGCAAGCATATAGGGGGTGTTGAGTCATAATCAAACCCCTAATGAGCAGTTAGTCGGGTCAAGGATACTAATTATGTAGAAAAGATCAATTTAGCTTCGTTACTTCTAAATATATTCCACTAAGTACTACCTAAGTGCGGGATAGTATAGATTCCAAACTGAGGGTATCAACCATCGATTAAACCTCTAGTTGGGCTGATAGTTATACAGGTAATAAACTCTACATGAGTATCAACCATCGATTAGACCTCTAGTTGGGCTGATAGGTACAGCTAGTTCTAGAGATGAACCGATACTTAAGGTCACACTGTTCTAGAGAAGAACCGGCACTTTAAGGTTACACGCCAACTCTCTAGAACCGGCACTTAATCTCACATGCCAACTTTCATATGCACACTGGTCACATGCCAACTTTCATATGCATTTTCTTACCTCAGCATGCACAAACCACATACGCGTGGCTTGCCATGCAACAATAACTCTGACTTGCAGGGGCAGGTTTGATTGTTTTAGAGCACTCTTTCTTCCCACATGGCTTCTATGTGGGACAATCTATGTGGGACAATTATATGAGGCAAAAAAACCTGTACGTGGTTGGAACTAGTGGTTTTAAAAAAACAATCAAACCAGCCAACAAATTGGAGTGCGATGGTGTATGCGCTACGGTATACGCCCATCAAAAGTAAGAAGGGTGTATGCGTGATGGTAGAAATTAAATTAGATAATGAAAAGGAAAAACAATTATTAAAAATAATAATTGGTGCCCATCACTCTTATCTTTCACAAAAAAAAAATAATTTACTTACTAAAAAAAATAAAAACTTTATTAACCTATTATCTCATGAGATTACTTCATTATATGATTCATAATTAATTAATTAGTTAATTAGGATTAAAAAATTAGTACTAGCTTATAGGATATTAAAAAAAGAAAAAAAATAATTTGAATATTAAAAAAAAATTAGTTTAGATGATATTTTAAAAGAGAAAAATAACACTAACTCATACCAGTTTAGAATTTATTTCAAGTTTCTTTATCAATTATCCCACATTGAAAATATGAATATTTTTAATTTAGTAATAACCAAATATTGTATATTATTTATTAATTTATTTATATTATAAA